AGTCAGGTCATCAATAAAATTTTGGTGGAGATATGTAGATGACACGTTACTAATAGTGAAATAGCACGATATTGGGAAATTCCTCTCATACACAAACAGTCATAACGACTCAGTAAATTTTACTATGGAAGTAGAGAATGAAATTGGGGAACTACCTATGTAAGACTGCAAAATATAAAGAGTAACAGATGGCAGCTTAAAAACTACACTGTAAAGGAAAACGACACATTCTAGGAGATTCTTTGATCATCTGTCGCTGAGATTATTCACTCACAGTAAAACGAGGATCAATACAAGTTTTTGCAGATAGAATACTTAGACTTACAACGGCATCAAATGACTAAAGAAAAGAAATAAACGTCCTATTCACAATGTAACTCTACAACAAGTACTCAAAAGAATTTATCAGAGATAATATATAAAAAGGAGATTTTGGTGTGGTTGCGTTCTCTGAGCTGGATGGTTTGGTTGCGAAGCTTTCATTGCTCTACTGAGCAACATCTTCAGCGCATACTTCGATGTGAAGTGAGCTTTTAGAATTCTCTATGAGTTTATAAGTCATCTCTTCTAGTAACCTTGAACGTGATTGGTTGTTTTCGTGTGACATTTCATCCCCTAGTTTGCTTGTCTCAGTGCTGGCTGCTTCTTTGGTCTGAATGTCGTTAGTCATTCCTTCTGCCAACCTTGAACATGGTTGGTTGTTTTTGTGTGACTTCTCACTTTCTAGTTTACTTGTTTTGGTGTTGGCTGTTTCCTTGACCTGAAGTTTGACTTTGTTTTTGTGTGAATTTTTTTCGTATGGATTGGTATATTTTGTCAATCTCTATGTGTCTATTGATTGCTGATTCATTTGAATACCAGGCCTCTAGGAATTCTCTGGCATTTTTGCAGTTCCCTTTGTCTAAGATTTGAACATTGTCCCAGTCGAATTGGTGCCCGTGGTTGTCTGCATGTAGTGATATGAGGGAGTGTATGTCGTGTCTTTTGACAGCTAGTTTGTGTTCGTGAATGCGAAGACGAAGAGGGCGTCCACTTTGACCAATGTAATGTTTGTCGCAGTCGTTGCAACTTATCTTGTAGATGACGTTAGTTTTGTCTTCTTTTGCCGTTGAGTCCTTTGGTTTACATAAAACTGAGTGTAGTGACTTTGTTGGTTTATGAGCGACATCGATTCCAAAAGGTTTGAATAGTCTTGCAGTGATTTCGGAGATATCTTTTATATATGGTAGGACGACTTTCTTTGTGTTTTCGCTGGTGGCCTTTGATTTGGTTGATTGAGCTGGGGGTAGATGTCTTTTGATGAAGTTTCGTGGGTATCCATTTCTTTGGAAGACGTCCATAAGATGAATTTCTTCAATTTTCCTCAAGGCGGGAGTGCTCCAATGAGTCCTGGCTCTCTTGAACAATGTACGTATGCAGCTAATTTTGTGTGATGTTGGGTTGTTACTGTTGTAATTGAGTATTTGATCCGTGTGCGTTGGTTTTCTGTATACTTGGGTTTCTAATTTTCCTGTAGTTGTTCGTTTGATTAAGACGTCTAAAAATGGGATTTTGTTTTCATATTCTTCTTCTCTTGTGAATTTGATGTCGTTGAAGGTGTTGTTTATTATGTTGTGGGTATTGTCTAAGTTTTCTCTTTTGATTATCACGAATGTATCATCTATGTAGCGTATCCAAATTTTCGGTTTGATCTTTGGCAGAATTATGTTTTCCAGTCTTTGCATGACGGCTTCCGCAATCAATCCTGATATGGGTGATCCCATAGGTGTCCCTTGAATTTGTTCATACATTTGGCCGTTGAATTGGAAATAAGTTGTGAGACACAAGTTTATGCATTCCATCCAACTTGAATGCTGCATTTTTGATTGTTGTATGTGTTCGTCGTTGTTGAGTAGTTGTTCCATGGTTTCTTTTGCTAGTTTTAGTCCAATCGAAGTATATAATGCCGTGACGTCGAAGGATACCATTATTTCTTGGCTGTCTATTTCAATGCCTTTGATTTTCTCTAAAAATTGGGTCGCAGATTGGATGGAGTGATCACATGATTTCGTCAAGTGTTTCAGTCTTCTGTATAGTTCTTTGGATAAATTGTATGTTGGGGTTCCTGGTAGTGATACGATTGGTCGTAGAGGTATATTTGGTTTGTGTATTTTTGGTCTGCCGTAGAATCGAGGTATGACGGGTCCATTGGATTTCATTCGCCATTGATCTTCTTTTGTGATCTGACCTGTTTTGGTGAGTTTGCTTAGGGTTCTTTGGATGCGGTTGTTTAGTGTTTCGATGGGGTTTGTTGTTAATTGTTGGTATATTGTTTGATCTTTGAGTAGTTCTTCCGCTTTTGCAGTGTATTCTTCTTTGTCCATGATTACTGTAGTCCTTCCTTTGTCAGCTGGTACTATAACGATATCTTTCCTGTTTTTCAGTCTTTTGAGGGCTTTTTGTTCTTGTGAGTTGAGTTGTGTGTGTCGTTTTCTTTGTTTAACTATAGGTACTATTGTTTGACGTATCTCTTCTTGTGTTTCTTCACTTAATTTTGATGATTTGAGTGTTGATTCAAGAGCAGCGAAGAAGTCTGTTTTCGAGGCGTCTTCAGTGTCGTAGTTTAATCCTTTTTGAAGTAGTTGTTGTTCCATTTTTGATAGCGGCTGTTTTGATAAATTGACTACGCAATCAATTGGTGTATTGTTCGGCTGTTGTTTTTTGATTTTGGTTAGCTTGGTTCTGAGAACTTTTCGTCTACGTTCTCTGTGTCTACTACTTGTCAGTGCGATTGCGGTGATCATTGTTGAAGGGTAAAACGAGAGAATGACAAGAAGGAGGAAGGCAGAAGAACAATCAGTATACCATTCTTAAATAGTACTTCAGAGGGAATTCGAAGAAACCTAAAAAATATTTGGATTTACACCACGTTTAAACCGACTAATCTAACTAAAAATAAGATAAATCAACTGAAATATCCAATAAGAATGATGGATAAAAACAATGAGATTTACAAAATATCTTGTGCTGAGTTTGTCCGACTTAATATGTAGGTCAAACGTCCAGATCACTGAAAATAAGAGTGAATGAACATAAACGCCTAACTAAAGGTCAACCAACAGGAACACAGGCTTATAAGAATTTAGAAAAAATTCATCGATAGCTGCACATGCATGGGACAAAAATCACAATATCGATTGGAACAATGTGTGTATTCTTAAAACTAACATGAACAAATGGAAAGAGAGACTAATAATAATAATAATCTACTTTATTCCAAAAACAATACTTTTAATACAGAATAGAATTCTCAGCATTTGTCGCAATATTGCATCTAATTTACTCAAAATACAAATAAAATTAAAAATTAAAACGAAATTAACCAGAGGAATTTGTCCATATTTACGATATGAAGTCAAAAATATTCGAAGCATGAATTAAGATTATTAAATATAATAATAATAACAATAATAATAATAACAGTGAGTTTGTTTCAAACGGTATTGTCGGTTCAGTTTGGAAACTTTAGCATGTTATTATTGGATCTAATGTTCTGTTTATATAGTATAGTGAGGGGAAACACAAAATTAGCAGTTATAATACATCTTAAGTGGTGTTCACACTTATGAAAAATAAACGAATAAAAACAAAAGGTTGAGAGGATTATAAATATAAGAAATACAATAATAATAAAGTTTGATGTTGTAAGGGTGGAGGAAATGGATTATTTAGTGGTGCAAAGAAGGTTGGTTAGTTCATGCCTAACACTATTTTCATCACATAAAGTACTTGCCAGATATGGTATAGTGGAATTTCTATACTTAGATGTACATGCATAAAGTCTTCTGAAAAGACTTCTTGTTTTACCTGAAGACACACAAGGCTGGAACTGCGGGTGAGGTGGATGCTCACATTCTGACACAATTCCTTCAGCAAATTTGTTGCATGAAATCAAGTGCCTATTCAACGACAATGTCAACGATATGGCCCAATGAGACACCACTAATTGCCCTACTCATAGATAGTCTTCAGAGTTCTACGAAGTATGACACAGTATATTTTAAACAATCCAGGAAAGAATAAGTAAGGGTGAACAGTAAAGAAGAATAGATAAGATGTAAGACTTGACAAATTGTAAGAGGAGGAGGGGTTGAGTTATTCCTGAGTGCCTTAACTTCTTCATGCAAAACGTCAGACGAAATATTCTTTTAGGCATCGCTAAGACATGGGAAGACCAGGATAGGTTAGTTGAAAGAATTAATCCAAGATTTTTAACCTCAGACTTGATTCCTATATCAGTGCACAACCTTCCCTGACATTTAGTGTACTGCTTTTTTCCTGAGAAATAAGAACGCAGCCATTTGACAACCCAACAGTCAGTTTGAGTTTCAGCAAGCTTGTTTAACAGAATGTCCCTGGTCACTGAGTCGAAAGCAGATGTGTAATCTAGGAAGGTGCAGCGAACAAATTTGGCCCCCTTGTCTAAGCTAGAGACAGCGTTATGATACAGGACTGCGACTGCATCTATAGTACTTCTACTGTGTTTATAGGTGAATTGTTTAGGATCGTTAAAGGCTTTTAGTGAAGGTTGAAGATCAATTAGGAGTAACTTTTCCATAGCTTTTAGAAAAGGGGAAGTAATAGCAATGGGTCTAAATTTAAAACAAGTTCCAGTAGAAGACTTAGGTATCTGTATTTATTAAAGTCACACCAGATACATGAAACAAAGGTGACTCAGCAGCACAACTGTCAACAATCTGGAATATAATTCTGAATACACAAAAATGTATGGACAAAAAATAAATTAACTATATGTTTATGAGTGGAAATCATGTGCAAATTAAAAAAACAATTCTAACAGTTGGTGTGAACACGGGTAGTATTAATTTTGCTAGAAATATTACCAAAACACAAAAAGAAAACTTGTCGTCGCGTAAACCATTGAAATATAATAATACTTTATTTGATCTATTCCACAATACCCAAACAGTTTTACTGGCATTAATTTCAAATAAACTCACTATGATTATTTTACAATAGATTTCATCAAGTGGTGAAGTGTTCTCAATCCTCTGATATTGTATAAGCTGATAGTATTTTTCAGGGATTGATGCATTTGTTACAGAATGATAATATGTGCCAGGGCGTAGGGGAATATTATCAATCTATAAAATATATAAAAAAAATATAAAAATGCACTTTGCGTATACTGAACATTACTCAACACTGTTTAAGCAGATAGATACTCTTGGAGATTAGGTATTCACTAATCTGTGTAATCAAAAAAGGAATTTCCTATGGGAGACTTAATGTGATGACAAATTGTTTTTTAAAACATATAAAGGTGGTTTAAACTGTCTCATCCACTCCCTCGAATCGCTGCATACAGACAACCATGGGCATCAATCTGACTGGGACAACCAGCGTTCATATATTAGACAGAAGAAACATCAAGAATAGCAGAGAATCCTTTTACGAGCCTGGTATTCCAGGCTTCACATCAACATAGACAAAATTTACCAGTCGATAAGAAGGAAATCACACATACAAAAAGTGAAGGTGTAGGTCAAGGAAACAATCAGTACCGATAAAAGTAGCCTAGAGGGTTTGAAAACACACGCTATCAACCAAAGAGTCACGTTTAACGTCCATCACCGGGAGAGATGACTAATAAACTCGTGGAGAAATCTAAAAGGTCACTTGAAATTGAACAATGCGCTGGAGATGCTACCTATTAGGGCAATAAAAGATTCACAAATAAACCATCCAACTAGCTCAGAGAACACAGCTACATAGTCAGTGCTCTCACAAAACGTTTGAATAAACCCCAGAAACGTATAAAAGACAGGCTCAGTAGATATAGGAATATTAAATTTATGGTTTGTCTCTATATAATGTTTCCCATGGAAGAGTTTGGCTATCCTTTTTTATTGTTGGTAGTTGTAGGAGATTTGACATGCTTCTGAAGACAAATAAAGATATTCTGTTAATCCCTTCCATTTAATGATAAGTGAGTCTTCCGTGTATTTTTGTGACCGCATTTGTGCTTTAATTGGTAGATACGGTGAACTGTGAGATCCTTTCACATATATTTCCAGGAATTAGACGTCTTCAGTTATCCAGATGTTTTACCGACTGCTGCGTTCAATCTCTGTCTAAGTTTAAAACCTTTCTTTTCACCAATGAAACGGGAGCTTGATATAACCAGTATTTTAAGTTAACAAGTTAAAGAATATATATGTTTATTATGTCCTTAGATATACTATCGATGCAATACATATAGATATCTGTTTGGAGTTTGATCAGGGACTAATATCAGCTGGACAAACATTGAAGGATAGCACGAAGTACTGGGGGAACCGAACCCAGGGCCTTCAGCTAACGAGGTCAGTCTCATTAAACATTCATTCATTCGGGTCGGAATTAAATGACCGCCCCATGAATTCTAATTGCCGTCAATTAACGATTTTAGCGCAACCGTCAACCAGTGTCATAGGTGAGGATTTGTCCTAAAACCAAACCACCTCGGTCTTACAAGCCGCAACGTCTCAGTAGAACCCCAGGCAGCTTCGTTCTGTAGTCAGCCATTCACCAGCATCGCAAGCAGATAGACGTAAGAATCCATGGTCCTTATGATATAATCCAAATGACTGAATGTTCAACGAGACTAGTCCCGGGTTCTGTTCCTAGAGGTGGTACAGTTAGTGTATACCGATGAAGTGGCCCAAAGTATGACGAAACAACCATATGAGACTCCTGACTCCTGCCGCAGGGTATCAATGGCTGCCTAACTTATATCAATCCATGATCAAACCTGAGATAAATCAAATACCTACCAACTCACTTATTAGAATATTGATATCTGCTACAAGTTATTTTATTCCCTCATGTTCCTAGTGGAACAAAGGTCATCAAGCTGGAAGCGGTGTTCATTTTTAAAGGATGGGGTTGCTAGCCTCATGCCCAACCTTTTCCTTGACCAGCTTTATTTCTGACCTAGCGAGGTAAAGGAGTGCGTCGGTCGGGGACCGAACCCTGGACCATGTGCAAGGTCGGCGAGCGTGCTAACCACTGTGGCACCAACGACGCTACAGTTGGACCCCATTTATTTTATTTATTGCAACCAGGCTGTTGAATCGGTGAGGCTTGTTGGTATTCGTTAACTTTCTGTGTCTTCGGAACATTAAGTTGGTGATCGTATTCAGCTGTTATGCGTCAGGCCACTTACACCTTAGACTCAATGCTTTTGTGAGGATTTCTAACTGGCATTTACTGAAATTCACTTTAAAAAATTTCAGTTTTCACTAAACCTGACCGCCTCACCCGTAATTTTGCTTAATTTCCTCGCTGGTTGTATGTATACATATAACCATAATGTGATATGCATATAGCAATTTAGGTCTCTGAAACAATACTATTTAAGTGTAGTTATTTTACTACTTAATTTTTTATCAGTAGTAAGCCAAATGTTGCTTAAATTCAACAATGAAATCAGAAAATAAGAAATGTAACTAATAATTGTATAAGTCGATTTCGATTTTCTTGTTGATTGATTGGATGAAAATGTTAGGCCTGTGTTGACATGCTACCATTTGGACACTTTCCACTTGCCAAAACTATTATTATTATTGTTCCCCTGGGTTCCTAGTGGAACATAGGGCTTCAACTACACGTCTCCACTTGCTTCTGTCTTCTGCCGTACTTTCCACTTGCATCCATGTTAATCCATACTGTTTCAGTTCCTCATCACACGATCTCCTCCATGTCACTCTTGGACGTCCCACTTGCTGCGTCCCTTTTGGGTTCCACTCGAGCACTGGCCTGACGCGCGATGTCACCCAGTGGCCTCCTCAGCGAATGTCCAATCCATCTCCACTTTCTCCTGCATATTTGTTGAGCGATTGGTTCTTGTTTTGTTTGTTCCCATAGCTTCTTGTTTGTGATTCTTTCCTGCAATCTGATCTTCATCCAGTATAGAGCGAAGACAGTTGTTGATAAAGGTGTGCAACAGGCTGTTGGAAATATTCTTTTTGACCCGCCAAGTTTCTGATCCATCCGTATAGAAGAACTGACTGTCTGACTTGACGTTTGTATTGAAATCCGAATCATTTTGTTGTTGATGCAGGCTGAGTGACGAAGATTTCCAGATTGGTTTCAGGTTGATGAATGTGTTTCTCGCCTTCCCGATTCTCGATTTGACATCCTCGTCCGTTCCTCCTGTAGTTGAGACAATGCTCCCTAGATGAGTGAATGAAGTAACCTCTTTCAAATCCCTCCTGTTGATGGTGGTTGGCGCTGGATGTTGCTGCTGTTGTTGTTGTTGCTTGTTGGTTATTTTCATAACCTCCATCTTGTCTATGTTTGCTTGTAAGTCTTCGATGTTTTGTGACATCAAACATAAATCATCTGCGAAATCCAGGTCTTGTAGGTTCTTCACTTTGGTCCAGCATATCCCTGTCTGACGCATAATCCAGTCCACCACAATTAGGAATATCATTGGTGATAATAAGCACCCTTGTCTGACTCCTGAGTTAACTCCAAACGCCTCGCTGAGTTTTCCGTTGTGGATCACTTCACATGTGCTGTTATCGTACAGCTGTTTAATAAGGTTGATGAATATTTCAGGTACGCCGTAGTACTTGAGTAGTTTTCAAATTACTTCGCGGTCAACGCTGTTGAGGGCCGAAACTAGTCAACACAAAGGCCAAAATTGACTTTTACCAATAGTGATTAACCATGCCTGTTACACTGTTTCATCTCGTATCCATATGGGTCTGATGAATTACTCTTTGGCGTGTTGAATGATGGTTAATGGGTCTGTGTTTCAGTGGGAACGTATTCGCTCACTGAAGATTGAATTTACCGCTCCGCTTGCTCCATACTAAAGATGAGATAACCAGAAACGAATAGGAATAGTGAACTGTGGATGGTAATGAACCAACAAAGAACCTGCTTCACAGTCGAAAAATCTACCGAGGGGAATCGAGACGAAGTGGATAAACTCTGAGAATACCATCGAGTGATATCGCTTGTTTGCCCAGGACATCGGCCAATTGGAACCGAAAGGGGAAACGATATGTTTTGCGTGGATGCATGAGTCACATGAATAGATAGTGTGAAGAAAAGATGTACGCCTGTAGGCAGTCATGAAACCAGGTGACTAGCACAGTAAGGAGCAGGATGAAATGGAGATGTTCTTTTGAAGCTTTATGTTTCATTTAGAACTTAAGGGAATAATGAGTATAACAATAATATATATGGCGAAATTAAAGACTTACTATTTTAGCTTGATCGGACTTTGGATGACAGTTAAAATAGTCAATGGTGGAGGTGAATAAGTCTTTAGCTAACTAAAACAACAAAATAAAGAAGACAAAACACAAAACACTTAGATCACAAAAATGTTAAATAAATGTCTAAATTAAGAACTGGACCGTCTAAAAACTTCAAACATATTTTTCGAATATTTGAATGTAAATCGTTTAAATTCTATCGTAAATAAGGCTTTTCTCTTGAAGTTATTTGTGCTAATGGCGAGTAGCAGTCAGATAGACAATCTAACTTAAAGAACGTTATCTTCTAACAATTTTTAATGAGTAAACTTATCATTGGCCCATAGATGTTTAATTTCAACTAACTGACTGAGTTTCAGGAAAAACCTCCTCACAGAACTTCAGTAATTCAAGTTGTCACACACTATGTGGAGAACAAACATATATACTTTTAAGGTATTGGTTTATAAGGATTTTATTTGATTGATCAGAGAATTTCATCATGAGCTGACATCAATTAAAAAAATATTGGAAAACTAGCTGGGAGTACTGGACAGTACTGGCCACATTGCAAACATGACTGATGGAATTCAGTTTGCACCGAAGATAGGACTAGACACATTACACTAGTTGCTGACTAGTATGCAATCGAAAATATCCAATACAGTCCTACAGGAGGTTAGTCGCGAGCCTGAATAGCTCAGTGGTAACGTCTCTGACTACAGCACTGGGTGACGCGGGTTCGAATCTCAGAAGGGACATCAGTTCCTTCAAGGTTGCAGATACGCCTTGCTGACGAGTGCCAACTAGCACGAAACCTAGGTCCAAGATTCCCTGCCGACTGCTTCCAACCATCTAATACAGTCATTGCACATTATTATCATCTTTTACTTCCAAAGTTATATTCTTTAGTAACAGTTTATACTTTGGAAGTGAGCAAGATCATAAATCTTCATCAGTAATCTCTAATTTCATATCTGGAGTTATTTAATCCTGATGCTTTTAGTAATGATGCAGTCACGCATTTTGTTGCTTTGGGTAATGTGGTGAACTCCGTGTAGCCCTTTACCACAACCAATGAACAAGTCTACGTAAGCTTAGAATCAGATTTGTGCTCAGAAAGAATCAGTTGTCAGTCTTTCCTCGCTGTTTCAACTTGATATCTTTAGCCTTCCAACATTTTATTTCATTAAGTATTCTTTGACTTTAATTTCCCTCCCCGTATTTTCGATATAATGGGTACATTATCACTTACTGTGGAATGCAGGTGCATCCAGTTGACTAGTCCCAATTAGGGGGAAATGCGCATCCTGGATTCCACTGCTAGTCACCATCCACCAACTAGCTTCTAATTACATGCTCAGACATCGTCGAAGCATCTGCACAAGAAACCGACTTGTCAACTTGAGACAGAACAAGAAGTATGCATCAGACGACTTGTGTATCTCCCTCCACAGGATCAATAAGGAGTGACATTACTGAGCATAAATACATTCAACACTGACCACTCCGTATGCAAAGAGAATTCATTAAAATTTATCTTCAAAGTCGAAAGAAGTCTTCATAAAACAGTACGCTTCCGTATACTTTACATAGTTGAGGCCTAAGGTATTCAGATGAAAGGTCCTAATTATTGGAGTTTCTTATCAACTGACGTTGCATTGTCCTTGTGAGTAAGTTAAAATCACTCCATAGAGAAAGTTAATTAGCTTATTTCAGGCTATGCGCAGCTGGTGAGAAAGTGACTGAATGAATCATGACACCAGCTTATTTTGAAAAAGCCGCTGTATTTGCTTTATTCCAATCCAGAAAAACGAATAAATGTATGAAGTAGCCAATAAACTGAGACATCTTATCAAATATATGCTGAGGGATACTTGTGGTGTGTGCTACTGACAAGATATATCAGTAATATATAAAGAGAGCTTCACCAAATAGAGAAGAGGTAGATTTGATGTCAAAGAGAGGAGGAAATGAACCAGTATATTGCGGCAAAACATGGCAGACGCGAAAAGAAGCCAAAGAAACGGAATAGGAAGAGAAGAAGTAGCACAACATGGAAGATCTGTACAAATGATGATTTTCAAATAAGGTGTAGATAACGTATCCATATAGAGAGATATCGAAATGCAAATAAACACTGTGTTAACAAGACTGTAGTCTACTAATCTTAAGTACTCATTCCTTTTACAGTGCTGTTTAAAAGAATTATATGATTTTCATGCCTGACTATCAATAACTGATGACTGAATTGTTTACTTTTTTTTGGCCTTCTAAGTTGTACATGTTTCATATGTTCTCTTTATGACCCTTTGCTTCGTGTGAGACCATTTGAATTCTAATCAGTAGAAACGTCAGTTAAAGAAGTAGTAAAAATGAGGAGCTATTTTCCCGAGTTTAAAACCACATAATGACGGCTAGCTTGAGGCAAATACAAACTCAGGTAAATGAAATACTAGTGGTATTTCCTTGCACTTTTCTATGCACTTGCATTCAGAGCGGAGGGCAGGATCCAACGCTTGAGATTTAAAGTTTTAGCAGCGCCAGTACTGTTGTTTTTCATGGCTTGGAGTTCTTAGCCTAACACGAAAACCTTCTTTCTTTGCCAGGCTTACTCCTGGCTTCTTATCATCAAACAGTCTCACCAACTTAGAGGATGCGGATGATACTGTCATCCTAGGTGAAGACTGTGACAAAATGCAGAGTCTCCTAAGCATCTTGAGAAGCAGCAAATATTTGGTGAATGTTCGGCATGCAATTTAGTCCTGTCAAATGTATGACCATGACGCAGAACTGGACTGCGTAGACTCCTAGCTTAAAGACAGGGAGTGAAGTAGTGGAGAGTGTTGACCACTCCACTTATTTAGGAAGTAGTATAAACCCCAATCGTGTGGTTGCTGACGAAGCCTCAGAGCTGATACTAAAGGCACATGTGTGGCATTTGCTAACTTAAAAGATATCTGGCGAAGACGGGACATCCGGCTGTCAGTCAAAGTATGTGTGTATCCTTCGCCTTGACCTCCTTAATTGCTTTGAGGCATGGCCATTGATAGTGGTAGAAATGAGAAGGATAGCTATTTTTAATCGCAGATGTTGGAGTCCTGTCTCCTGTGCTGGATGGGATAACACGGTGAATGATAATGATATTATGAGTCGAGAATCAGGTAAACAGGATGAGCTTGTGAGACTACGTCAGTCTGGCACCCAGAGCCATAACATTCCTTAGTGGGAAATGTTAGCTGACACAAGTGCCGGCAAGATGAGATTTAAAAGTGGTCAAGTTAACATTCGGCATCATTTCATGAAAACTTTGACAGTTAGCGTGAGCCATGTGAGGAGGTAGAGGCTTCCTGTTCAGCGTCCCTAAAAGGCTAAAAATCAATGGCTGGAAACAATTGGAGATATCGATCAAAATAGTCCTCAGTGGTGCAGCTGTGGCCACTCTTTTTGACTTCCTATAATCACTAAGTCCTAAGGTTTCTACGTGTTACTATTCTTTCTTCTGAACATTTCTACTAATCGAAGGTCTCCTGAATCACTAGATGGATTGTCCAAACTTGAACTGCCTCATTTTTGCGCATTTCTATGTTCAAACTCAGTAATTTAGACCGGGTAGGAGACATTTAGGAATTCATCGATGATTGAATCAAGTGCATACCATTTGTTTGGCAAACATTCGATCACTAGACACCAGTGTACTTCACTGCAGACGAAGTTTTTGGCGATTTGCTGAATGGTGACTCACAGTGGCTGCTGCTGGATTCAACATAGAACACAAAGGTAGACAAGGAAATGAGCGATGAAGAGAATCAGTAGAGTTTTGACAAGTATAAGAGTGAAACAGAATGAGTAATGGTAGAAAGGAATATGAAAGATTACAGAGACTGAATACATCTGCGTAAGCCATTGACAACGATTTTGAGCCATGTCACCTATTGTCTCCAGCCACTGACTGATTCTTAGAGTCCCGAGGGTGGGCCCCAACTCGGAAGTCTGCATCTCCCTGCCTGACTCAGTTTAACTGTCAAGCATTTCATGGATTGATGCCATTTTTTGTTTGGCCACCACTTACTCTTTTCCAACCTGCACCTGTATCAGCTAGTAATGCCCGTCGGGGGAGGCGATAGTTAGACATGCGCAGCACGTGACCTAGCCATCTCAATCTATGTAACTATATAGCCTCTTCGAGTGATTTTCCCTCTTTGCCCAGCACTCTACGCCTAACGTCAACATTACTTACCTTATTATACCTCCTAAAGTGAGAAAGAGATCGTAGACATCTATGATCAAAAACCGTCAACCTTTTCATGTCTTCAACTCGTATTGGCCATGTTTCAGAGTCATAGAGAAGGACGGAGCGAACTGCTGAGCAGTACACACGTCCCTTGGTTGATAGCCGGATGTCACGCCTACGCCAGAGACGATGTTAGTTAGCGAAAGCAGCTCGACCTTTTTGGATCCGTGCTGAGATTTCGTCGCCAATCAGTCCGTTGGTGCTGATACAACTTCCCAAATAGGTGAAGTGGTCAACATGTTCTATCACTTCACTCCCTATCACTAAGCTAGGGGTTGACGTAGTCCAGTCCTGTAGCAGCATCTTACATTTTACAGGGGCGAATCGCATGCCAAACATACGAAGATTGCTGCTCAAGGTGTTCAGAAGACTCTGCATTTTGTCAGCATCCTCCCCTAACAGGACTATGTCTTCTGCGTATTCTAAGTCTATAAGACTATTCCCCGGAAACAAGTCGATTCCTAAGTCGTTAAGTTCAGTTAAGGATACTTCCATTAGCATATCTGTGATGAAGTTAAACAGAAAAGGGGAAAGTGGACATCCTTGACGGCGGAATTCTCCAGGATTCTCGTTTAGTCAGTTGGGTTTACTTGCATTCCTCAGTGAGTGATTGTTTTCCCACTGAGGCCACATATTGTGAGTTTCGTGTTGCGAGTGACCTAGTGAATAACGCTTTAACATTTGAAATGATGGGCACTGGATACGAGCCTCAGTGAGAAAACCATCACTCACTGACTGTAGAATGCATACATCCAGCTGGCAAAATGCACATCCCGATGGATTCCACTGCTAGTCACCATCCAACAGATTACTTCAAGTTAAGTCCCCACACATTATCGAAGCACCCACACAACAAGCCGACATTTCAACAGAGGCCAACCACTTCAGTCCAATCTTTCAATGGAAAAATCCAAAATGAAATAAGTACTGGCTTTTATTTGTTTGAAATAATAATAAAAAGGCTATCTGAATTATGACTTCACTTACCCCTTCCTGCATATCTCCAACAACGTACATTGTAATTGCCAACTGGAAGAAGTATTTACTATGGAATGCCATTAAATCAGCTATTGAAATAGATGTCAATGAAAGCAGCAAAGCTTTTATGGTGTATTCATTTTGGTTCCATAAACAAGTATTGAGATTACTGAAGAAATATAGGTAGAATAGAATACACATTGAATAAAAAAAGTACATTTGCTGAGAAAATTTGAAATAGAAATTTGGATAAGACTACTCATGTCTGTTGCAAGGTAGTCAAAGAGATAATCATGGGGGCTGTAAATCTCCCTTAGAAAGCCATTGGAAAACCAGCGGAGCTCACCCACCTGATCTCGAACCCAGCACCGTCCGGATACATGGTGAACCCACTGACTACTGAACTAGCTGAATCTGATCTAACTAGCTCTAAACAGGAGATTAAATGAGGTTCTCGTGAGAAGTCGTCACTGGAGAAGTCCTCCTAGTAGTCATCTGAGAGGACAAATACTTACCGTTGACATTAGCTGGCAGTTGGGCTATATATCTCAAATTCGCAGGAGTTGGAATTCAGGGACCCTGTAACCACACTGTCCTGGTGACATACTGTTGGGTGTGTACTGATGGAGAGTCTCAAACTAGGATGAAGCACCTGTCCAGTAGTACTCGCTGGTTTTCAGTAGTTCTGTAACTGATGTCAGTCTATGACCAGGCCAGTGATCACCGAAATACCTGCGAACCAACAATTCACTATTAATTCTATCAGTCATTTCGAAATATGATTCTAGATGTAGAAGAATAGCTGTCGCAGAGGGACTTGTGATTCGAGACAAGATGGATGGATCCAGTCAGTATGCAGTTGTAATTCTAAATGTTCTGCCCATTATAACACTCCAGCAAGGCAATATATGCAACTGGCAACGAACTTACATGGTCATCGACATTGAAACCCATACAACCTAAAGCCTTTTTTAGACACATTATTACTGAGCTCTTCAAATGTTAAGATAAAATGGCAATAACTGTAACCCATGAACATATTGGATTTCTTATTATGCCTTTTGAGTCCCTTGAAATATTAAATTTACTCAAGTTGCTTGGACCAATAACGTTTCATGGGTGTGGCTCCACGAAAACATTTTCTATTGGACTCGTACTGCGATTTAAGCAAATATGAATTGCATAATCCGTCATTCTAGTGGTTTGTTGATGGCAATTTATTGAATTTTTTTCAAACTGGCAAGCATCCTTTTATGCGTCTGTTGTGTACGTTGTCACAATAACTATAGGATAACGTGTTTCGTTATTCTCCTCCGTATCCCATTATTTCAATAATCATCAGAATATGAGTAGAATTCCAAATTTTCGGCAGAGTTGCCTTTCTGAATACTTAGCTGATAGCTGTGTATTGCGTTATATGCAACTAGTTTCGCCTGAAAATTTAAAATAACTATTTTAAGGAGTTATCGCTCATCGACCTGAGCCCTTTGTTTTACCCTCTGTTTGGATTGCTGGATTTTAATCGGATCCTAATTCCTTTAGTGCATCACTGAATTAATGCATTTTGAAGGTCATTCTGACTGTATTATATACCGAGTTTCTTTCTAGAGTTTTGAGTGTTGTTTGAGACAGTAAAAGCTCTCTTATCGATGTCCAGTTTTTCCTTTTATCTTTGTGCGCCTGTAGTGTTATTTCTACCGTTATTGTTGACATGCGATTAGGACGGATCAGCCAACTCACTAGCCAACGAAAAACTCAAAACCACGCTATGTATCCAAAAGAAATACGTTCAACTCTTATCTCTGCTATGGACGTCATAAAGAGGTAATTCTTTTACTAGTGACTACCCCACTTTTTTATCCAAACTTCCTGTTTAATATAGGATTTTCATCATGAGCTGACATTAGTTAGAGAACCACTGGAAAACCCGGGAGTACTGGACAGCTGTTTCGTCCTAGTTTGGGACTCTTCATCAGTACGCACCCACCGGGATTCGAATCCATGACCTTCTGGTTACAAGGTGAGCTCGTATACCATTAAGCCACTGGGACCCGATCCAATGGCCCATGAATTCTAACTTCTGCCAATTCACGACATAGCGTGACCCCTAGCCAATGTCTTCGGCGAGTATTTGTCCTCACACCCAGCCTCCTGCACCCTACTGGACGAAATAGCTGTCCAGTTCTTCCAGGTTTTCCAATGGTTTTCTAACTAATGTCAGCTCATGATGAAAATCCTGTAACCAATCAAATCCCTACAAACCAACATTTGAATTCCTGTTTATTCATGTTATTTTTAAATTTATCTTAATCCCTATTTACACTACCATATTTTCATATCCAAACTTCCTGTTTGTTTCGTCAACAATTATTCATCACATTAGTTATGATCTCACTAGATTTTTAATCCAAACATTCTGTCTATTTTTGTTATTTCTACAGTTCTAACCTTTAATTCCACACTATGTCAATCTTCTCAGTAATTATGATGTCGCTTGGTTTGAGTTTTATCCGTCCCCCTGTTTATTATGCCATTTTAATTCCTAATTATAATTTTATTAATTTGACCCTTGATCGGAAGTTAATCTGGAACTTTCCCACCCATTTATTATGTAATTTTACCAATATGACCTTTGACCTGAAATATTTCTCGGATAATACTAGAACCTATCTACCTTACTGTATTGTGTATCCGACCTACGTGTTTATTTCACTTTGTAATTTTAATTAATTTGACCTTTAACCGGAAGTTAATATTCGCTCATAGTCTAATGGGTCATCGTTCCAGTCAAAACAGTATCTTTCAACCCCCACCCTTAGACTTTGTAATTTATAACTTAACGCACCAAGTACTGTTCATTTTCACGTTTGTACTTTACTACGCTTTGTTAACAATCAAAGTTTGTGAGTATAGGTACAAAGATGGCACAGGGAAAACAGTAGGTTGTTCACTTCGCAGAACTCATTAACTGAGCATCACTCGTACCTAGTCTAGAAATAACAACTGCAGGTACAGAACTGTTAGTAATTGCCATACCTGTGACAAAGTCAGAAGTCTTGAAAGCCATAAAATTACTGAAAGCTAACAGAGCAGCAGAATCAGATGGAATTTTCCCAGAAGTAATGAAACAGGTGACCCAGAAAACTTCAAGTCACACTGAAGATCAGCCAGCCAGCAGAAAAAGATAAGTAGGAAGGAATTTCGTCAAGCAACTGACCAGGAAATATGAATCTACTGTACAGTACACATCCGGAATGGAATGAAGGTGAAATTAACATCTGTTAAAGATGCCTCCAAGTGAAATCAAATGCTAAGCCCTCAAATGGAATATGAACCAGAAGCAACTGGATGGCTGTTTGTCAGTGACATTTTAGAGATCACATAATGAAGAAACGAAAAGTATGGTATGGGTATTCGTAAATCCAGTTAAAATGATATGATAACAAGGAACCGACCGAGACTTTGGTGTTTCGTCCGAGATAAAAGCAATGCATAATAATGAAAATAATAAGTTGGTGACTCACTCAGCCAAATGATTTGGATTGGACAATTGAGCAGTTAATTCCTCTGTCAGTTGTTTCTTACATTTTATAAAATGCTCTTTAGTGAAATCGACTGTTGTGTTTTCCAACAGCTGTTTATAGAGTTCCTGAAAGAAAGAAATAAAGGAAGCCAGAACGCCAGGATTAAAAGAATCGGTTACTTTTAAATATAATGTTTTAGAAAGTTTTTGAGAAACATCAGTGGTCTAGGTAAAATAATGTTTCTGAGGGAGCAGTTACACTGGGAGGAGAGAAGGAAGGGCGTACCTCTCTTTTTATGAACATGTACGAAAAAGCCTATGTCTAAAGAGATAAGTGCTTTGAACAGTGCCATCTCTAGGCATCTCCTTGACACTGGTCATCAGGTGTCATGAAATGACATCAGTCAGAGGACCATTGGAAAACCTAGGACGAAACAGCTGTTCAATACTCCCAGGTTTTCCAATGGTTCTCTAACGGATGTCATCCCTTAATGAAGTCATCCAACCAATTCTTACTTTGTGAACTCATGACAAGGAGCCGCTCTCAACAACGTCTTCAGTATTCATCCACAAGGTCTCACCACAGCTTCAACGTATTAACATGGCTGGTTGACATTAGGTTGATAAGTGCATTGGCACAGAAATATGCTAGCAGAGTTATTTGTTGGGTCACAAGCTGTACACATTGGACTCTCCATATGCACATGTTCTTTGTATTGTACTTCTTTTGTCTTTTTCTATTGCTTAATACATATTCTATCACTAGGGTCTTTCATTTCTCCTCTTCATATATTAATCCGCGTCACACTGCTATTCAGTATTCTTGCAGAAGATATCACACACACACAAAACATATTACTTACAAAATCTTGTAAGTAGCACACATGGCACACACGTATCAGTGGTCACGTAAATATCTGAAGCTAAGGTTACTGTTGCATTGCTTAATAAAGTGATCTTGAACTAAAGCTTGTGAAAATCTTAATAACTTATTAAGCCAGACATATGATGGGAAGGTTCAATTAATAATCCTCAAAAATTATAGAACAATAGACAAATTGGTTGTACGTATCATGACTGCTTTGCTACTCTGAAGAACTTCGTAAAATTTTAACTGAAAGTAATAGACTACCGTAGGGGAAGAACAAGCTGAAAAAACTCCCCTAAACGATATCTTTACAATATTCATACTTATTTGGATGTTGTAACTGAATTTGTAACTTATAGGATTTCATCATGAGCTGACATTGGTTAGAGAACCATTGGAAAACCTGGGAGTACTAGACGGCTGTTTCGTACTAGTTTGGGACTCTTCATCAGTACGCACCCACGGGGTTTGAACCCAGGACCTTCTGGTTACAAGACAAGCTCGTATACCATTAGGCCACATGGACCCGATCCAATGGTATACGAGCTCGCCGTGTAACCAGAAGGTCCAGGGTTTGAATCCCGGTGGGTGCGTACTGATGAAGAGTCCCAAACTAGGACGAAACAGCTATCTAGTACTCCCAGGTTTTCCAGTGGTTCTCTGACCAATGTCAGCTCATGATGAAATCCTATAACCAATCAACCAAATCCCTACAAACCAATACTTGAATTAGTAACTGTTTTCCTCTTTTCCCCTAGGCTATATGTCACCGTGTTGAAGCTTGTGTATTATCAGTGGACAGTTGTCTTAATTCTTGTTTAATACCTAATGTAAATGATTGTTTTTACGGCTGTGTGATGACGTTGATAATGTGTTGCTTCGCTATTTGGCTATTGTTTGAATGATTTCAGTTGAATTAGTTATGTTTTCTGAGGAGCTGGTTGATATAATTGTGAAGCTTACGTCGTCCTTCTAAACAGCATCTTCAGCACAAGCTTTAGCATGAAATGAACCAATAATTATATACACCCAGTTTTGTCTTACTTTGCCTAAAACCTGAAAATAACTATTTTAAGGAGTTATCGCGCGCCTCCATGAACCCTTTGTCTTTCCCGCTGCTTGTACTGCTGGGCTCCTATTGGCTATTAGTGCTTTTAATGCATCAATCAATGACTGAACTTTCAAGGTCATTCTAACCATATATATACAGAGCTTCTATCCAGCATTTTTACTGCTGTTTGAGACAGTGAAGCCTCTCTTATCGAAGTCTAGTCTTTTCTTTTTGTCTTTTCATGCCGGCGGAGTTATTATTGTTGTTGATGTGCGATTAAAACAGATAGGCCAGCGCATAAGGTTGATATTCGCTCATAATCTGTTGGGTCGTTGGTCCGGTTATAGCACTTATTTAAGTTCTCCATGAATGATGAAGTGAATATTTTTTACGAGGATTTTGATCTTGGACTGTCTTCTCGAAGTGTCTGGTGAGTGATTCTTGCTGATAAAGTTTTGATCATACCTTGTTGGGAATATTCTTCTTGGTTCTAAGTACTTATTTTGTGAGAGAGGTGTCTCTAATGTGAATAGCTATTTAACAGCATTGTTGAGAACCATAGATTTTATCTCAGATAACTCTACATGTGCTCCTTGGAAATGTGAGTTGTCCAAGGACGTTTGGTCAGCTTTGCTGTACAGTAGAAGGCGAAGATTGGTTCAAACCACAACACATCGGTTGTAGTCGCTACAACTCCTATGGCATCCACTGTGAATTCAGTGTGTATTGTCTGAACTATAGTGAGTGCTACAGATTTAATTATTTGGGGAATACATAGACAGAATTCTGTCAATAATGTTTTACAAATATAGTTTATGTCGCTGACATATTTGATGGTCCAATGGCGGAATCCCTTCACAAGTGGAGCATGTCTAAATCACTGTCGACACACTCTTAAACTTCAGACAGCTGGTATTCAATCAGAAAAAGACCGAAGACTGCGCACGAGACTAATAACCCGAACTAGTAAATGCAGTAGCACCTCTAGGGGAATTCCACAACTCAGGATTGAAGCCCTCTATGTTCCGCTAGGTATGCGGAGCGATAATAAAAAACTCTTCTTCTTATAGGGGCAACATATTAATGAACGAAGTATATACATATGCATTGAAAGGTGGCAGCTTACATAGACTCTCTCACACGGTCCTTTGACAATGATTTCTGGTCCATTTACGTTCATTTTAAACGTATACCTTTGAATGGAATAAATTTAAACAAAAGTTAAATGTAATCATTGATATTTAAAACGGAAATAAAGGTGAAAGTAATGCAGAAATGAGTTTGTTTGACGCAAAATTGCTCATGGCATTCACGAACAGTCATATTTGTGGTTCGAAAACATCATTCATTGTTCAGTGAACACTTTTCGTTAGGATAATATATGTGTATCATTTTTCAAACCATTTACCGTATTCTATGCCATATATTGAGAACAAATACTTGAAAATCCACTTTCAGCACATATTGACATTCCCAGGAGCTGGCTAGCGGGGGTTTGATTTATACGAAGTTAGGGAACCGCTGAAAAAGGAGTGAAAAATAGGTGGCTCTTTTGTTGTAGTTTGAGGATTCCCCGGCAATATGCATCCTAAAGCTCATCAGTGTTCGAAACAAAAATTGAAATTCCAGTGATTGCTTATCAGTGACAGACTACGAGATTAGGAAGGTCAAGGATATTCATCATTTTACTTCATATGAGCCAGTTTTATGAAAGTATTCAGGGAGATGGAGTTCACTTCGAGGAATTACTGAATAAGCAACAGAGATCTCTGGGAGCGAACTAATCCAGCAGGGACCAACTGTGCAACTAATAAGCAGGAAGAAATGGAGGTGTATTGACCATACTCTGAGGAAACAAACCATCAAGTTGTGGTGAGAGATGGTTGCTAGCCAAATTATTGACAGTAATTGAGGTCAATGTTAGTTATGTGAAAACAAGGTCAAGATGGACAGGAGGATACAGTTAACATATAGATGAACTGACAAAGCCACAAGAGATGCAAGGTTAACTTTGTGTGAGAAACAACCAATCAACAGACTGTATTTTCTACTAACATTAACCTACAATAATGTACATCAAAATCTATAAATATGTGTTGATTTTCCGTAATAAACGTTCTGTTGTTACAAAGTGACATCACAAGACAGGCCTTCGAATGGAACCTGAAAAGGAAGTGGCTAGTTGGTCGTCCAAGGGTGACTTGGAGGAGGTCGTGTGAAGAGGAGATGAAAGTATGTGGGCAGACTTGGAGCGAGATGAAAACGTTGGCAGGGGAACCGAACGCAATGAAGACTTGTGGCTGAAGCCCTATGCTCCTCTAGGAATTAAAGGAAATAATAATAGTAATAAACTGGATCTAATACTATTCTCTAGAGAAACTTAAGTATTATTTTTAGATTAAGGTTAGGATATTTCATTGGGTTTGTTGTTGTAAATTTATTAAAGAGAGCTTGCATTTGTTAGCGATAACCATAAGGTGTTCTATCTAAACTGGAATCTACTCTGAGCAATGAGAATTTGTCACTGTATTAGGTTAGGTTACCTTAGCCTTTATAGGTGATAAGGCTTCAGTTGCACTTCTCCACTTCATTGTGTTCTCTGAATTCTGGCACGTGACCGCACTCACTGATCTTCACAGTGTATATCCGATTCCTCTTTAGTTTTACAACTATAGCATCTTTCAATCCCTCTAGGATAATGTGGCCTTATATTTTTGCTTGACATAGACAGCAGTGTGATTCTACGCTATTTTTTGCAGGTGATTACGTCACGCTTCTTTTGGTAGTTTGCTAAAGTAGTCTTTCTTCAAATGAGTATGCACCTACCATTCCGTAGAAATTTTCATCAATAAAGACGTGAAGATATTCTCTGAGGTCTCTGGATCCATACTTAGTGCTTCCGGAGGAATTCCGTCAGGTTCTAATACCTTCTCAGGGATTATTAACCTGATTCCACTTAAGAATTCGACTTTTTTTCTAAAAACTGATGTTCTCTGACACTTTTGTGGCTTCTTGTGGTATTTCTGAACAAATTGTAAGTGGTGATTTCTTCTGGCGTCCTCTAAAGCTGTTGGCCGACTTTTTTCACTTATTTCTCCTTTAGTAAATGAAAAATCCCCATAGTGAAATCAAAGCAAGATTCTGAGCGAACAGTTGTTTTCGATAACTTCTTCTTCAGGCTCTACAGTTATAAATCCATGAATACTACAGTACATATAACCAATAAAGACACTCGTGAACATACTCCTGTTTAGCTTGGGAAAAGAGCAGCCAAATCAATAAATAGTGCGATTCTATCTCATCTAGTGGACAGCGAACACTGCATCAAAGTAGATAAATCATTTACAGTTGTGTATCGAGTACCGTACAATCTCCCCAAAGGCACACGATTATGCCTCCTAGTCATAGCTGAGGCTTTAGAGATTAATAGAAAAAGACCAGATTTATGTGTACAGGAAAAACTTATTCACTCTCTCTGTCTACCCTGGCCCACCATAAGGTCACAAGGATCATACTTTTTCGTTTTATTATTATTATCATTTTGTGATATCATGTCTTCATCATCCATTTCTCCACCCAGTTTATTTCACCTCATTGTTACCCTTAATTTTGTCAACCTTTGTGACTTTATACTAAGACTACCAATTCTGTAACATATTACATTTTACAATTTAGCCTTTTTATTTTATCATTAGACATTATCGATCAGCCCTCACATTCAATGCTATCTTTGTTAATGTGTGTTTGTTTGTATTATGTGGTTATCGCATTTCTCTCACCCCAATGACACTTGTATTCTGTTGACTATAAAACAGCACCATATCACCCAATTGTTCATTCGCACTTCATCACATTTTTTTTGACTATACAACCTATACACATTCGATTGACTATGTTAACTAATGGACTATCATCTCAACTTACACATGCACCCCAATACAGTTTCTGATATTATTTTCATTTGCCTTTATTGGCTATATGTACTCTATTATTCATGGATTTATAACTGTTGAGCCTTTAGAAGCTATCGAAAACAATTGTTCGTTCAAAATCTTATTACTCCTTTCTGGTAATTGGGTTTCATTCAGTATCTTCCACTATTTTTACCTGTATTGAGCCTTTCTCGGATAATTAACCTGATACTTGACATGGTGATCTGATGCCTGTCTGAGCTGTGGCCTGTCGTGTTTAAATCGTTAGCACGTTTTCCTCTCATTGCCCATATATGCATGGTTAATCTTCTCTTTCACTGTCTCTCTCTTCTCAGCTAGCTATCACATATAAGTAGAGAGCTATTCCTTGCTTTGCTATGCTTTGCTTTGTACGAAGTGATGTTTAAAGTTCCTTTTAACACTACGCTTAGAGAGGAACAGTTTCCTTCCATACACTTCTCCACAGTGATGCTACACACAATCCCTCCAGGTTTGCTGTGATGGCTGAGGTGGTTGTGTGGTCTTCAATTTCTAAATCTTGAAGTTGAATTGTAGGCTTCTTATAGATTCGCGAATTAGGTCATAGCGAAATACAAGTATAGATAGGATGTAGGTTTGTAATAGCAGATATCTGCCATGGATGTGTGGGATTATTTCCCTTAAAGCCTAAAGAAAAAGGCCATATGGCGACTTTCAGATTGAGATGGTAATTCACACAATTTGTCAACAAAATCTACATTTGCTAAACCTGAAAAATGTTAATTAGGTTCTAAAACGGCATCAAAAAGGGTGATGGAAAGAAGTTATATTCAGTTGTCGTTAGTGCTTTCGACGATTTCAATTTGGATAGGCATTTTAAAATTCCTTATTCTTTCTAAATCTTTCACCACTTACATAAAAGTGATTTGAATATTTATCTATCAGCTACCAGGTTCTTTTATTGCTGAAGACATCAGCTCTCTAATGTAATCATTTCAAATAAGTGGGATGAAATATTGACCGTATCAATTTACAGTTAGCTATTAAGTTACCTTAGCAAAGAATCTGGTTGGCTATCTACACTATTAACAGAATGCCATGAGATCTCACGTTTTGTGGTCTGAACACCCAATGACATCTAAAAGAAAGTATAGTGGGATCATGCCTGATATGACATACAAATTTACTGTTAGACAGTCGGTTGAAATCGTCTTATAAAGTAATGCATTTCATCGACATCTATTTCATCTGATACAAAGCTGTCCTTCGGCAACTTTGATACCTCCTTCTTAAAAGAATACATTGACCTTTTATTGTGTGCATCTTGTAAGTCCGTCTTGGTGACATGAGCATTCGAAATTCGATTGTTTCTGCTCAGTAGTGTCATTCACAACATCCCGTTTGTCAAACTGAAGTTCCTTAGTGGTTATCTGTATGCTCGTGCCTATTACATCTGTGGATGAGGTACTATTTCTAAAAAGACATTTCATTGTATAATGTTATTATAGTGTGAAAGGTGACTTACTCTATTCCACTTTCTTTTGTGATCATATCCAAATCTAACAATCGAAGCTTTATACTTGTCTGAAGTAGGCGAGACAAACATGCCCTAAATAGGAAAGAAATAACATTGCGAAAAGGAGAGAAAAAGGCAATATGTAATCAGGGGACGTGAGTGAAATTGATGACATTTAACGTCTTTAGCATACGACTGTGTTTAAGTATTTAAAATGGGGACACATTAACTTTTCTTGATATAAAAATAAGTACCTGGGAAGCATCGTTTCGACTACAGGCGGAACTGACGAGGATATCAAAGCAAGAATCGGAAAAGCAAGACAAGCTTTCACTACTCTCAAGTCTGTGTGGAGGTCAACAACACTCAGCATCAAAAATAACATCCGGATTTTCAACTCCAATGTGAAGTCAGTGCCACTTTATGGATCAGAGACTTGGCGCGTCATAAAGAGCATCTCAAACAAACTACAGACCTTCATTATTAGCTAGCTGTCTTCGCTGAATACTCAAGATCAGATGGCCGGCCAGAAAAGATCAGCAACAGAGAGGGATCTCTGGCAATGAGCGAACCAACACAGCAGGAACCGATTGTGAAACAAATAGGCAGGAAGAAATGGAGGCAGGTGGATTAGCTGGCCATACTCTGAGGAAACAAACCATCAAGTGACATCACTAGACAAGCCATCGCTCGAGTGGAACCCGAAATGGAAGCGGCGAGTTGGTTGTCAGTGCAGGGGTGACTTGGAGGAGGTCATGTGAAGAGGAGATGAAAGCGTGTGGGCAGACTTGGAGCCAGGTGAAGACTCTAGCAGAGAACCGAACGCAATGGAGACGCACGGCTGAGTCCCTATGTTCCTCTAGGAATTAAAGGAAACAATAATAATAATATGCATTGAAAATACCATTTCTGATCGTTATATTGCCCTTTAATTTCATAAGACAATGACATTTATTGATGAAACTTTGTAGCTGTCTGTTTGAAATCCTTTCCGTGATCCGCAAGGCTTCAGTGAGTTAAATAACCTTTCCTATGCTTGAAAACTGGATGGAAGTTGAGTGTGGGACTAGTCATTTCACCCTGGAAGACTAATACAATCAGTGAAGAAACTTCAATGCTCACAAGGATTTTGAAAAGAAAAATCCTTCCCTCGTTGAATTCAGGGAGATGAAATGTTGCCAGGTTATGAAAGCCTATACAACATCTTCCGATGAAAGCTAAAATGAGAATAAGCACATGAATTTTGCTTAAAGTTTCGAAGTTCACCAGAAATACTGTTCAAAATGAAGTGGGAGTGAGAAGATATAGATATCCCAAATAGTTACGTTTTAAATAAATGTTTGATACAGTTATGTTCAGAATAGATAAAGCATAAGAACTTACTTTGAAGGATCGTTAAATTCCATTCCAGATGAGATATGTGTGTAAACGTATACTGAATTGAAGTAAATACGTGTAGGTAAGATGAAATAGAAAACAAGATTTAATAAGGAATACAATAGAGTTAGAAAAAAGAGACATAAGTAGGATTTATGAAAACTCCAACTAAACCACTAAAGATGGTTAAGTTATTGAAGTAAGGCATATAGACACTAGTCTCATAATTTATTATGTATTATTCCTTTGGCTTCTGAATGGAACACTGGGCTACAGCAACACATCTCTGCTTTCTTCTATATTCTGCTATTATCTTCAGCTGCCTGGCTCAACGACTGCTCATAACCACTCATCTCCTCCTCCTCCTCAAACGATCTCCTTCATGTCACCCTCTCACCGATGACCCACTCATCGCCTTAGATTCGGGTTCATCTGGGCGATCGCCGGCATTGAGCGCGATGTTATTCGACGGCTCCTTCAACGTATGCCCAATCAATCCATCTCTACCCGACTACTTGATTTTCAGCATGGAGCCAGAGAAGCCAATTGTTGATAAAAGTCTACACTAACCTGTTGAAAATCCTCTTCGTGACACGCTAGCTACGTTTCTGACCCGTGTAGAAGAATGGACAGATTTCACATATGTGTTGAAAATCCGAATCTTGTTCCTTACGTTTAGTGCAGAAGATTTCCGAACTGGTCTTGGGTTGATGAAGATGTGTGTCTTGCTTTTCAGTTCTGACTCTCTGGTGCTGACATCTTCCTCCGTGCTGCATGTCTGTGGTTGAAACAATTCTTCCTAGCTGGATAAGTGGAAGAAGTCACCTCTGTCAACTTTCTTTCGTTCATAGTGATTGATGCTGTTTGCAATTGCTGTTTGTGGTGGTTGGTTGGTTGGTTATCTTCATCACCTCTGTCTTCTCTGTGTTCACCTGGAGTTCCGTCTTCACTGCCTCACTCTTCTGCACGTTTGCTGGTTTTCGCCTGCCTGTAAGTCTTCGAGTTTGTGTGACATTAGACATATATATATCATCTGCGAAATCTAGATCTTCCGGAGTCCGTTCGTCGGTCGTCCAGTGTATTCCTGCCTCCTCATTCCCAATGCACGGTCCAACGTATAATCCAGTCTGCCGCAATTAGGGATATCATCGGTGATGGTAGGCAGGCAGCTTTGTCTTACTTCAAATGCCTTGCTGAGTTTTCTGATTTGGATTACCTGACACGTGATTTTGTCATATAACCATCTGCTTAATGAGACTGATAAAGACCTGGGGTACACCATTGTTTTAAAGCAGTTTTCAAATTATTTCTCAGTCAAAGCTGTCTCTTAGAGGCCTTTTCGAAGTTGATTAAGTTTTTGAGGTATATTTTGACTGTCATTCTATGCTTTGTTCGTTGACGGTGGTGCTTGCAGTTGCGATCTGATCGGTACATTATTTTTATTTATTTATTCCTTCACGTTCCCCAGTGGAACATAGGGCTTCAAGCTAGTGGCTTGAAGTCTCTGTAGCAGTGTTTATTTTAAAGGACGGGGTTGCCTCATGCCCAACCTTTCCTCTTCACCAGCATTATTTCTGGCTTAGCGAGGTAAAGGAGTGCGTCGGTTGGGGATCGAACCCCGGACCATGTGTATGGTCGGCGAGCGTCCTAACCGCTATGTCACCAACGTACATGATTTGCCTTTTCTTTACCCAGCTTGTTCCTGGCGGAGTGCGTCTCATTATATAACTATTTTTTTGCTTAAAACACAGCATTGTTATTATTATTTATGATCAATCCTTCAGGTGTTAAGTGGGACACAGAGTATCAATAGCTCCTCCACGTTTCATTCTGCTTCCTACATTATTGTTTCCCTTGCCTCTTGAGTGCTGTAATCTCCCTGTCACATAACCTCCTCTATACCACCATGGGCGTCGGTGGTATAGCGGTTAGGACGCTCGCCGACCATGCACATGGTCCGGGGTTCGATCCCCAGCCGACGCACTCCTTTACCTCGCTAAGCCAGAAATAATGCTGGTGAAGAGGAAAGGTTGGGCATGAGGCTAGCAACCTCATCCTGTAAAATAAACACTGCTACAGAGACTTCAAGCCACTAGCTTGAAGCCCTATGTTCCACTGGAGAACGTGAAGGAAAAAAATGCCACCATCGGACTCAGACCTATCTAATTGTTTCCCTTTTCGGGTTCAACTCGAGGTTTCGCGAGGGCTGGCTGGGACACTCATAACCTCCTCAGTGTAGCGTGCGTATACACACATTGATACAGCATTAATAACTGATGACAACAATTCGACCATAATTTATAGGTCATATTCAAATCAACAGACATACAAACTTGACTGGCTTAGGTGGATCCTAGTGCATTCGTCAGAAATTCAGGCTAACAGTGGAAATGAACACCTAATTATCTTTGTGAGATCTTATCTAAGTATTCCTTACTGGCATACAAATTTCGATTTCGCCAGCCATTCGCTTCATATGCATTCGTTAATTCTTTTACGTTCTAAGTGGAATATATGGCTTCAAGCCTGAGCGGTAGCGTTTTAGTTTTTTAATCCTTGAGCTTGTTAGTGTCACAGTCAACCTTCCCTCTCTTTCTGAACCTGCTACTGATTAAAAGAGTTCTACGAGTGCGTCGGCAGAGAATAGAAACCCTGATCATATGAGGCGTGATTCGTGAGCCCTGATTTACTTGAGATGCATAATTTGAATTTAATCAAAATTTGCTTGTCTCAAACGTTGTGTTCACTAACTCTCTATCATCCCTCAGTCAAATAAAGGAGCTATATATATGCGTTGAACTGTGTTCATTCTTATCTTCAATTAAATATATTCCCCTGTTATCTTTGTTTTCACCATCGTGAGAGTAGACACTTTTATTTCGGTGTTTGAAAAGTTAGTGTTATAAACGTTTAGCAAGTGAACGAGAATAAATTATTCACATATATCCATAACCATTTTAGGCGCTAACAATACTTGGACTTAACAGTCCAATTCTTTTCCTACTACACAAGATACATCTATCTTATTTCTCTATCAGAATTGTTTGATGCCCTAAGTTGTGTGTGTACGCATTCAACCGTGGGAGGGGGGTCAAACATAAGAAATTTCGGGTCGTAGACCATTCGGCCAGTGGAATTCGATTTATTATCCCATAAATCTCAACTTCTACTAACTGACAGTATATTCATCGATCGTTTTATTATACCTCAACCTAAGTCTCACAGTGAGACCATTGTCACCCACTTGGAGGTTGCAGGAACGTCCAGATGACTGTACCTGAATGGGACCAAATGCGCCTACTGGATACCACTGCCAATCACCATCCATCAAACTACCTCATGAACAAATGACGTTTCTCCTAAGCGTTCTGAAAAGAAGCTGGTCTGCATCTGCTTCATGTTGTTCAGGGAAATATTACAGAGAAATTATGTTATAATTACCATCATCTGCTGTCTGATTGTTAATCTGATGATACCAGACGGAACCATATGACTCGTACATAGTTCCTTTAAATTCTGTGATTAAATTGACAGGTATCTGAAACGTTTAACAAAAATAAATATTATTAGTGCTGAATTATTACAGAGGTCTCAGCAGTGCCTTGAGCGAAGCACTTTTTATGTGACAATAGCACAGTGGTAGCATGCTCCTCAACGGCGCATGTGGTTTGGAGTTCGATCTTCGACCGATACACAACTTTGCATTGCTAAACCAGTTATAATACTGGTACAGAGAGAAGATTGAACATGAGGCTGCCAACTCCAACCCGTAAAAATTAACAATACTGCTACTGAAACTTCAAGCCTCTAGCTTGAAGCGCTATGTTCCATTGAGAACGTAAAAGAATGCAATAAAATAAAAATTTTGAATGTATGCGAATGTTACACTGATATAAAGACTATAGACTTTTCTAAGGATCTCGATTAATTCCAATATGGAGTTTGTCTGGGACTGACTTCATTTAGAGAGTCATTGAAAACGAGGAAATAGTGAACACAGATGTTTTATCCTACCGCGTGACTCTTCAGCACTGCATGCTTACGACCCTGAAAGTGATAAAATCTTGGAACTTAGAGTTTCGTGTAAACACTAACTGAAAGCATTGATTGACGGTAGAGCTATGTATAAAGAATTTACGTGGGTGGGAATTCACGAGTCACTTGAACTCAAGCCCGACTGCTTATATGTGTTAAACAAGCTTGGCCCCGTAATCTGAAGAGCCTGGCTCCAATATCATTACTATTATGAAGTTTGGATATTTGAAGTGATCTACGTGTCTTATGGGCTCCCTTTTTCTAATTCACGGACATTTCGCTATCATTATAGCAAATATTAAAAGTGCAGGACCAAATTTGAACAGCATCAAGGACTTCATTGGATTCAATAATTTACAATGAAATAATTACAAAGCCTTTTAAACTTGAGTGAAGTTACCTGCATGTCGTTTTCAGATGATACAATTGAATAGTCGCGAGCTAAAATATGATCAATAAAAAGAAAGGATGATGAGTAACCTAGTTGTAAAGATTAATAAATTAGTGTAAGACGTAAACATGAGAATCAGTTATGCGGTAAATGTTCAGTGATTCTGAATTAATTCAGAAAAACAGTCCAATGAGTGGTCACCAAGGATTATTGGATGTCATGCCTCTATTCCTCGGTGTTGGTGAATATTATCACTCATATAAGTGTGTAATGTTGACACCAAGTCAGATGGCTATCAAATGAAATGCTCTCTAAATTGATTTTAGATGTCTGGAGGCAATCCGCAAGTAGCCTTAGCTGGACCTAGGTTTCGTGGTTGATGGCACTCGTAGGCATGACGTATCTGTCCACCCTGGCGTTCGAACCGGGATCACTCAGCGCTACAGTCAGATATATTGCCACTGAGTTTAAGTTGGGCCGATGATTAACCTCTTTTGTGACTGTTTAACATACCATGATTGCTCACCAGGCGTTGGTGTAGACTGAATTCTATCAGTCATGTTTGTGACATCAACAACAATAACAAGTAAGACCCTGGCGTCCAGGATTTCTGACCGTCTGCATCCAACCAT